AGGGGAGACTGCGGCTGGAGGGATGAGCAGGGGCCAGGTCGTTAAGGCCTTACGCGCCATTGTGATGGTTTTCATGGGAAGCCTTGGAGAGTTGAAAGCAAGGAAGTAGCAGTCGATAGACTATTAGAAGATGATTCTGGTCGCTGGTAGAAGATGGATTGTGGAAGAGCAAGAATGGAAACAGCAGGCCCAGTTAGGAGCAAAAGGCCCAGTTAGGCGGCTGGGAGTGGCAGCAGTAGCAGGGCGGTCAGCAGCCGTCAGCTTTGGGAGGGATTTTGAAGGCTGAGCCCCACGCCCTGCTGGGAAGCTGTGAGTGGGGTGTGAGCGGGAGAGCAGGACTAGCAAGGGGTCCTTGGGCGCTGCCTCTTCGGCCGTGCCCTTGGGTGGGCTGCGGTACCTCCCTGCCTCGCTTCTGTCGCAGCGCCCTCATATCTACTAGGAACTTGTACTTGAATAAGGTTTTACAAGCTTGTAGAATACTTTCATGTACGCAGCACACGAAATTTTATTTGATCTTTTTAGCAGAGAAGGTTGTACACAAATTTTACAATTGTTCGTATTTTTTTTTATGGTAGAAAGTTGAGTTAGTCCTGCTCAGTTAATGACTCATCACTTTAATGGCTGAACCATTACCAGGTTTCCTCGGTTTTTTATTTTATTCTTCTTCAGCCCTAGTTTTCACTCCCATTTTCCACTTTGTCCTCAGTCCCCGCAGACAGCTGTGCTGAGTGCTGCTGCCTGTCCTCAGGGATGTGTGTATCCCTGTAAAGCGGGCAGCGTGTTGCATGTGGGTGAGTGAGTTTCATTCACCTGAGTTGGATCATGTTGTAGATCTTGTCTGTTTCTCAACGTTTTAACTCAGTGCTCTTTTTTCCCAAGATCTCTTCATGTTGCTGTGTGTACACCTGTTATTTCACTGCTTCTGACCGCAGCACAGAATTACGAAGTGCCTATGACAGTTTACTTATCTGACCCTTTTAGATAATCTCCAGCTCCCTGCAGTCACAAACGACTTTGGTAAACAGACTCATTCAGGTCCCATGACAGTCTTGTGCAAGAGTTTTTCTGAGACTTGTGTCTGGGATGAGACTGAACTAGAAAGCAGACACATGGTTCACGTCCCGAAGTCCTGCCAGATGACTCTACAAAATGGCTCTTCCCCTTTGCCCTCCCACCGTGGTCCTTATTTCCACCCATTCTTACCAACATTTGGTATTATTGTCCTAATTTTTGCCAATCTGATAATTGTGAAATAGTACCTCTATTTGAATTTGTATTTCTCTAATTAGCAGGGGGTTTAAGTATCTCTTCATATACTTCTTAGCAAATCATTAAAATGCTTTTTGCCTTGGCCCACTTTTAAAAACTAGATTTGACTGGAATTTGACACAACACTGTAAAATGATTATGAATCAATAAAAAATGTAAAAAAAAACAAAAAAAACTAGATTTGTTGTCTTTCTTGTGTTGATTTGCACAGTTCCTTTCTACTCTTTAGGTTTTAATTCTTCAGTTAGACATTGCAAGTATCTTCTGTTTATTTCTCAGCCGCTTACTAACTTTAGTGTGGTGCCCTTTGTTGAACAGAAGTCCTTAATTTTAATGCAGAATTCATCAATTCTTTATGGTTTGTGCTTTTTAAGTCTTACTTAAGAAGTCTTTCCTTATCCCAGGATTACCAGGACATTCTCCTACATTTTCTTCCATATTAGCTTTACAGCTTTACCCTTCGTTTTTAGGTCTTTAATTCGTTTGGGTTCTGCCTTTGTTTCAAGTGTGGTAAGAATGGAAACAACAATAGCTTCCTGCCTCTTCGCACCTCTGTGATCAGAAGCAGCAGTCTACGTTCACAGCACAGATCCCTGATATTTGCAGGACAGGGTCCTTTTTGCCCACCCTGGCTCAAATAAGCCGTGTGCAAGCTGGTGCAAGCTGCTCCAGGAACATGTGCACAGCTGTCTGCCACACTGCTGGGGGTGGGGGATGGGTGGCTACTATTTTGCTAAAAGCTGAATTTATCCAAAATTAACTGCAGTTTATCATCCAAGTCTTTCCCAAGCCCTTAATAGACATCAGAGTTCCAAAATAGTTGCATCAAAGAGAGTCTGCCAGTGCAGTGGTTGTCTAGGTGGAAGACAAATTTCTGTTGTTTCCCGCTGCACCATGTTACAGAATCTTCCCTGAGTTTTGAGGGTTGTTTTTTTTTTTAAAGTATATTCTGATACAAATCCTTTATCAAATAAAAGATTTTCAAATGTTTTCTCTCAGTCTGTGGCTTGTCTTTTCATTCTCTTTAACTGTGTCTTTCAGAGAGCAAACGTTTAAAAATGTGAAGACGTACAATTTATTAGTTCTTATATAGATTGGAGTCATTTTTCCCACAGTAGAACTTTTTTCAAAATCAGAGTCAGTCTTCTCAAAGCCTGCTGCTGCTTTATCAACTATGTTTGTGTAATATTCTAAATGCTTTGTTGTCATTTCAACAATCTTCACAGCATCTTCACCAGGAGTAGATTCCATTTGAAGAAAATACTTTCTTTGCTCAACTCCTTACCCATCAAAATTTTATCTTAAGACGGCAGCAGTTCATTCACATCTTCAGGCTCCCCCACTAATTCTTGTTCTCTTGCTGTTTCCTCCACACCTGCAGTGACTTCCTCCACCAAATGCTTGAACCCCTCAGTGTCATCCATGAGGGTTGTTCTTCTGAACTCCTGTTAATGTTAATGTTTTGACCTCTTCCCATGAATCCCAAATAGTCTTAATGGCATCTAGAATGGTGAATCTTTTCCAGAAAGTTTTCAATTTACTTTGCCCAGTTCCATCAGAAGAATCACTGTGTGTGGCAGCTATACCCTTATGAAATGTATTTCTTAAGTAATAAGACTTAAAAATCAAAATTACCCCTGATCCATGGTCTGCAGAATGGACATTGTGTTAAAAGGCATAAAAACAACATTAATCTCATTGTATGTCTCCATCAGATAATGGGTGACCAGGTGCATTG